TTTCCTTGTCTTCCGTAAAGTGGGGATATTAATTCCTCCCGGATGGGATTGTTAGAAGAATTGTATAAGACAGTGTGTGTAAGCATCTCGCACAGTCCATGCTCCATGGTCGGGACTCAATAAATGTTGATTACCTTCCCCTGTGCCCCTTCTTTGTTCTAGAAAGAAACTAGGGCACACAGCCTCACTGTGTCTCTCATAAGAAAGGTGACATCTGACCTGAAGCAAAAGACAGTTTAGAAGTGTAACTCAGTGAGATGAGCCCTGTAGCAGCATAGTGAGTAATGCTGTTACATACCTTTCACAAATCACCCAGCAGATCAGCAAACAGGGCTTGGCACAGTTTACTGATAAAATAACAGGGCAGCTTCCAAACCCAGCCTGAGTCAGGGGGTCCCAACACCACAGCCAGAGTCAGAATCTAGAATGACTCCACAGGCCTTGGAGCCTTGGTGTTTCAGTTGATTCAGATGTGTTATAAATCTGTTACAGTGGAAAAAAATAAAAGCAGCTTCTCTCTGGCTGGCCCCATGAATAACTGTCCCCAAGAGGCCTGGAGAAATTTTCCTTTCTTTGCAGAATCCTTAATCATGTCTACCAAATAGGAGTTTTCCATGCAGTCTCACGAATGAGGAAGTAGGGAGAGAGTAAAGAGAATAGTGCATTCCTAGACAGTTCCTGGTCCTGAGGATGATTGTTGAATGAATGGCCAAAGTGTACCTCCCCCATACCTCCCCAAATGCTTATCATTTCCCAGGGTTCTTTCCTCATCCTGATCCGGTGAATGTTTTTAAATCTATGAGTTGGCAAGAAGCATAGAAGGCAAACTTACCAGATTTTCCAGTGATACTGTGGCATACGAGAGTCGGGGGACAGAATCACCGTTTTTAAATGATTTCAGCAGGTTTGGAGCACCGGGCTGATCACAGTCAGTTGTAATTTAATAGGGATAAAGTTAAAAATCTGTCCTTCAACGTCAAAAGCAGAAATAGAGGCTAGGAGAGGCTTATATTAGCAAGAGTTTTATATGAAAAAGGCATAAGGATTTATAACTCAAGAAAGACAGGAGTCAACAGTATGATGTGATTGTATTAAAAAGGAGGTGAAAGATCAGGAAGAAAAGTCTCCTTCAACTTGGTATAATTTGCACCAGTCAGACAATACCCAGTCTATTGTATTCAGTTGTAGGAGCCAAATTTAAGAAAGATATAGATAAATTTGAATGGATCACTGAGGGAAAGAAGGAAAAAGGAAAGTCAAATTAAAAAGATTCAAAAGTTACGTTGTTTGAAGAACAGTTGAAGAGGAATACGGATATTCAGCTGATTACCATTTTTTTTTTTTCGGGTTACCATATGACGAAGAGTAAACTTGTCTATTTTGCTCTGAAAGGGAGAAATGAGATTATTGGGAGAGAGAGTCCATAAAAACAGATTTTGGCTCAATAGAAGGAAAGTTTGGAGCAGTTCAGTGATGGAAAGAACTATTTTCATTAAATTGTGAGCTTCCTGCCACTGGAAATAATCAAGCCGGAGCCAAACTAGTGTCTGTCTGGGATTCTGAAGGATCCCAGCATTGAACGAGAGCTTGGGGTCGGTGACCTTTAAGATCACTTCCAACTCTCATAGTCTGTTATTTAAGTTAGCATGAATGCCAAGACCTCTTACGACATGCCAGAGCCACTTTTTCAACTTTTGGCTCTGATACTGACCAGCTGTGTGACCTTCAGCTAGGAAATTAACCATTTCTTGTTCCAGTTTCCTCATCCATTAAATGAGGGAGCTGAATGTAGTGATGTCTAAGTTGCTCCCTGGCCCGTCTGTCTCTCAGGCCTTCTCATAATTACAGGATGCTGGAAGAGTAGAGTCTGGGCTGACACCTGCCATTTTTTTCTAAGTTGGCTTGCCAGGAGGTGGCTTAAAAGCCAAAAACCACTGTTGATTCTGAGGGCCACGGAAAGAAACTCTCAATTTGCTTGTTGGCAGGAGAGTAGGTGATTGTGAACCTGGAATTTGTTCCCGTGAGATCTTTGTCAGGAAGTTCATCAAATAACAGCTAATCTGGTTTCTCTCGAACACCTGTACTTCTGACTGAGTTCAGCAATGCCTTTGCAAACAAATTAGAAGAAAGGGAGGTTGTATTACCATTGCAGAACAGTGTTGTCTCTTACAAAGCAAACCTTTGTCGTTTATTTGCTTAATGATCTGTCAGTTGCTATTGACCTGTGCTTATAATCTTAAGAACCAATGTATATAAAGCAACTTACTATGTGGCAGATTTATTCTAAAAGTTTTATATATATTAATTTATTTCATACTTTATTAGCTGAAAATGCAATGATGAATCAGTAGATTTGATCTTTTTTCCTCTATCGAAAGGAGGTAGTTAAAATCTAGTTTAAGTCTGTCTGAATGGTAGAGTCCAGAATTCAGATCCAGGCCCTCGTTCCCTGAGGCTTCATTGTTCAATGACTGTAATTTCTTTTGTGGCCCATTTGATTACTAATACTTTTATTTTCTTCTGTATTAAGGTGCCTCACTTCCATCACTATTACATCGAGCTCTCCTTCTGCTTCCTTCTTTGACTTCTGTCTGACATCCACATCTTCAAATCCCATTTCTTCTTTGTTCCAAAGATCTTTGAAAATGCACCCATCAGTGTGAGTGTCATTGTTTACTTTGATATAGATACAGAAGGTAATGGACAAGATTTTAAGCACTTCCTACAGTTACCGAGGCCAGTAAAGGAGGAAATATGTAAATTTATGCTTCTTATAAGGATGTAAAGAATTTAAAACTTCATTCCCTGGCTTACAGATCTGGCTATACTTACTTCGTCCAGAGACAGTACCATATTTCCTTCTATCTCTTTGTTTTCTTAGGTTGGAAATGAAAACAGCTGTTAGAAATAAGAGCACATGAGTCAGTCTTGAATCCCAATGTAGTAATTACAGTTTCCATCTCAGCTGGTAAAGTCCCTCCTAGCATACTAAGGCCCATATCACAATCCCCTTGTGGGGAGAACACTACCAATGGTATTGTCAATTTTATAGCAAGACTTTAATTTTTGTTTTCCAGACCTCTAAGATTAAACGTTAAATCACTTGCCAAGTCAAGAAAAATAACAAGCAAAAAATGCTTCAATTTAAAAACTTGATTCTTGAAACATGCTCTTTTTTCAAAATTTAATTTAGATTTTGACCAAATCTCCATGTTGATGTTGGAAATGTCAGTTACTATTCCACATTCTTTTTTTTTTTTCTTTTGAGACAGGGTCTCACTCTGTTTCCCTAGATGGGGTGCAATGGTGCAATCATAGTTCACTGCAGGCTCAAACTCCAGGGTTCAAGTGATCCTCTGGCCTCAGCCTCCTGAGTGGTTGGGACTACAGGCATGTGCCATCATGCTCAGCTAATTCTTTTTGTAGACATGTGGTCTCACTATGTTGCCCAGGCTTGCCTGGAATTCCTAGCCTCAAGCAATCCTCAATCCTTCGCCTCCCAAAGTGTTAGAATTACGGGTATGAGCCACCACCATGCCTGGCCACTGTTCCACATTTTTGAAAATGGAGCTTTCGATAGACTTCATGATATCCTCACTGTTAATACTTCTGCTTGAACTCTTGTAGAGGCTAAGCCTTGAATTGTTTTCTCTTTTCCAAGTTTTTGAGGTTTATGATCTAGTAAGCCAATCTCAAAAGAGTCATCCACCATCTATTAATTGACTGTCACCTTTGAAAGCAGATTGATCCTCTTTTTGTTCTGCTTGGTCCACCATATCAACTATTTAGTGTTTTACTGAAGAATCCCACTGTCTAAAGCTGTGATGGTTCCTCCTCACCTCTAAATCATCAATCTGATGTTGCCCTATAAATAGGCTACTGAAGGAGAGCTTTGTGCCTTGTAGGAGGAGAGTCAGGGAACTTGGCCTTCTTACTCGCTTCACTTTGCCCGTTTTATTTTCCCTTTCTAAGACTTGATTATTTATTATTTGATTAGATTATTTCTAAAGTTCATTTCTCCATAAAGATTTCTGTAGTTCTGTTATCATTGTGTCCCCCAAAAGCCAATTTTAGGTGCTGGAAATGAAGCCACTGTATGCCTAGCATGACTTATGAAACTCTGAGAAGGCCAATCAGCCCCAGATCCCTCTACCACACCTGAAATTCCACCATTAGATAGTTATTCCTTGAGGTAGGATAGTACCTCTCAGATACGACACCATTTAAAATCCAATATGTTTAGAAGGGTGAACCCATAAAACTAGTTATGTGAGACAATATACTATCATGGCTAGAGGCAAGTTCTGAGGTCAGACCACCTTTCACACCTGGGCTCTGCCACTCACTAGCCATATGAGCTAGGCAATTAATTCATATTTCTGTGCCTCAGTCTCCTCATCTGTAAAATGAAGATAATACTACTCTTCTCAAGGGTTTTTGTGAGGTTTCAATGAAATATGTAAAGTGATTAGATGAACATTATCCTGCTTTGTAAGCCTTAGCAATTATTATCTTCATTTGCATAAATTTGCATGTTGTGTTGATGCATATTGTATTGAAAGCTGATATCACGTCACAGAGAAATTGGAGTTTTGATTGGGAAACTGAAAGGATATACTTTGAACACAAGAGGTGCTTTTAAGGGACAGTCTGCCTGAGTGAGGTGTCACAGCTGGTGACGTAAAGTCACTGACTGCCTGTGGGTGGATAGGGAAGCATGTACAAAAGAAGGTAAGGGAGATGGGACTGCTTCCAGTCCTAATCAGCATGCTCAGTAACTGATAGAATTTTTCAGCTAGGACAATGAACCAGTAATGTGATGTATACCTCACCTGCAAATTAACTTTGAATTCAGTACTTGCTTAACTTTCTCTGTGTCTCATAATTCCATGGATTCTCATGTTCAGATAATGCTAGGTCTCTGAGCCATTGCACTTGAAGCACTATGGGGAAATGTAGAGTGTTTTACCTTGCTCAACGCCCCTTCATCTTTTCTTTAGATTACATGAAGCAGATGACATTTGAAGCCCAAGCGTTTTTAGAAGCTGTACAATTCTTCCGACAGGAGAAGGGTCACTATGGCTCCTGGGAAATGATCACTGGGGATGAAATCCAGGTAACATGGGGCTCAACGTTTTGGATTCTGTCTATGTTTGGGTGTTGGGGTGGTAGGAAGTCAGGGTCATTTTATTAAGCAATCAAACAAAAAAGTTGCAAGTATGAAAGACGGGGTTCCAAAGGCCATCTCTCTCATGTCTGGAAGCATTGGTCAGCACACTATGGGCACCCACCACCAAGACCACCAGACTGGGCATGACACAGGGCAGCCAAAAACATGGCAGCTACAGTGGAAAGAGCTGCCTCCACTGTTTTCTATGAAAAGAAATTACTCTTTCAAATGACCTTGTGCTTCCACACCAGAATCAAGTGTGAGTAGCGAGGAATAGTGCAAAGTGTATGACAGGGCTTTAGTTAGGGTCATGAAGCTTGAACTTAAGTCATGCCAACTTACTTAACCTCTTTTAGTCTCAGATTACTCCCCTGGAAAAAAATGGGAAGAATAATGTTTACCTTGCAGCGTTGTGACAAGTGAGATGCAGTTGGAGAAGTATTTGGCATGCAGCTGTCTTTAAATGAAGCAATGAAAAAACAAATTCAAAGCATTAGACAGTTTTCTATATGTTTCATTTACCTTTTCTAGTTTTCTGTCCCCTGTGGTACATTATAACTTCTCATGACCCTGATTAGATGCCGGTCATGGCCCAAGCACTTCGGTGGGCTTGATCCCAGGGACAGTATTATAAATCTCCGAAGGAAACTATGCTTTATGATGTGATCCCAGCCTCCATGATGACGCCAGTCACATGGCTGCTTCAGCCAAGAAAAGGAGGCTGGATATGGGCAGATTTACATAAAGTAACATGATATTTAAGAATGCTATCTTTTGGGCTGGGCGTGGTGTCTCATGCCTGTAACTCTAGCACTTTGGGAGGCCAAGGCGGGCAGATCAGTTGAGGTTAGGAGCTCAAGACCAGCCTGACCAACATGGAGAAACCCCGTCTCTACTAAAAAAATACAAAATTAGCTGGCCATGGGGGCACATGCCTATAATCCCAGCTACTTGGGAGGCTGAGGCAGGAGAACTGCTTAAACCCAGGAGGCAGAGATTGCAGTGAGCCGAGATCATGCCATTGCACAGGGCAGTAAGAGCGAAACTCTGTCTCAAAAAAGAATGCTATCTTTTTTATTTTTTATTTTTTCCACATCTCCCATGGTGCCTCTTTTGGGAGCTAGTGGAATTTATTTATATATAGAGAGAGAACAGTATTTGGAGGATGCCAAATGGTGCCTTGCCTCTGTGTGGCCATTCAACATCTAATGCTGAAAACCCATGAGGGAGCTCTTCTTTATAGTTTCACCATGTGAGAACATGTGTTTATCATTATAATCTTCTCTTTCGTTTTTTTTCTTTTTGGCAGATTCTAAACTCATTTATTTCCCAACCTGACACTTACTTCTTCTAGAATTTTTAACAGGTCTTGGTTTCTGATATTTTGGGGAACCACATCCATTCATAAATCTGAGAGAACTAAATAGTTACCGTACTTATGCCATAAAGAAAAACAAAAAGTATCAGAAGGGGAGGCTGAAGCACTTGACACCGGCTGGGCTGCCATGTAAGCCAACGTAGTTAATAGACAGACCAGTAGTCAAATGCCTTTTTGTGATACTTGATAAGGTTCAAAACCTAATGCTGTTTGTCTTGCCAATCTTATGGGATGAGTAGGGCAGTTATTATTATTTCAATTTTGTAAATGAGAAAATGGAGGGAGGCATATAACAGCAAAGTGACTTGCCCAGTTTCATTCATTCAACTATTTTTTTGAGACTGAGTCTTGCTGGGCTGGAGTGCAGTGGCACAGTCTTGGCTCACTGCAACTTCTGCCTCCCAGGTTCAAGCGATTCTCCTACCTCAGCCTCTCAAGTAGCTGGATTACAGTGCATGCCACCACACCCAGCTAATTTTTAGAGGCAGGGTTTCACCATGTTCGGCAGGCTGGTCTCAAACTCCTGACCTCAGGTGATCTGCCCACTTCAGCCTCCCAAAGTGCTGGGATTACAGGCATGAGCCATCGTGCCCGGCCTCAACCACTATTTACTGAGCACTGACTCTATGCTGGGCACTGTGCTGGGGGCTAGTGATCCAGAGATGGACAAGACCAAGATGGTCCTGGCCCTGTAGAGCTGATAGTTTCAGGGTTATATGCCAAGTGGACAAACGGCAAAGGAAATGATGACTTCTGCTTCTGATCCAGTGAAAGACCAACACCAACCATGGGAATATACTGACTTACACATTTATTTATCAATAGCTCCCTGAGTTCAGCCATGCCACTTGCTTCATCGTTTTTCTTTCACTTGAAAACTTATGTGAACTCATATTCCTCCATGATGCCATTGAAAATAGGTATCTAATAAGTCCTTTCTGGGAGTTGAATTTGAGTTTGTTGTGTTTTCTTTTGCTTACTTTCTGCTTTTGGCTTTAGGCTGATTATGTGCTAAGTGGTGTAAGTTGGAAGAGAGAGAAAGTACTCATCCCTTGCCATCATGGTGAGGCGAGACACACATAAAAGCATGCAGAAGACAAGGCATATATGTGTGTGGGTATATGTATGTGTGTCTCTGTGTAGATGGAGATTGTAAAGCATTCGTGCAAGTGGTCATAGTAAGCTCTCATTTTGCAGTACAAAAAACATTTTAAGTGGGGAAGCAAGACAAAACAAAAAAAGCAGAAAAGAGATCAAAAATCACTGGAGTTATCAAGTGTCCCAGTAAGAAGTTTCACAGGGGCTGCCTGTGGTGGCTCATACCTGTAATCTCAGCACTTTGGAAGGCCAAGGTGGGAGGACTGCTTGAATCCAAGAGTTCGAGATTAGCCTGGACAACATAGCGAGATCCGATCTCTTCAAAAAGTTTTGTACAAATTAGCTGGGCATGGTGGTATGTGCACGTAGTCTCAGCTACTTGGGAAACCAAGACACCAAGACAGTAAGATCATTTGAGCCCAGGAGTTTAAGGATGTACTGAGCTGTGATTGCGCCACTGCGCTGGGAAACAGAGTGAGACCTTGTCTCAAAGAAAAACCAAAAAACAAAAAAGTGGTTTTGCTCCACCCAGAATTTAAGTATTTTGGCAAAATAACAGACTCATAAAATGTGAGTGCTGGAGAGGCATTTCAGGATGATTTGTCCAGCACCCTCCAGGTGAGAGAAAGAACATTCAGAGCAGTCAGCTGAAGTCACAAAGCTAGTCTGTTACAGAAATGCGTTTAAACCAGCTTGGAGAAGCTGGTAAAAGGAAATGGCTTCCAAAGCTTCCTGTGTGGGGCCAGGTAAGGATTAAGGTTCCCCACAGACTCTAAGACATGGAGCATAACACTAAAGCAATGTCTACCCTAAGACTCATAGAAGAAAGAAGCCGGGGGCCTGAAGAAGCCACCAAGTGGTTAAAGAAAACGGCGTGGCATATGGTATAGCATAGCCGAGTTGGAGAAAATGACATCTTTTGTTTAAAGCCTTGGGTTTATTTGCATTTTTTCTTCCTGTCTGCTAAGACCTTTATCATAATCCTGTTCTGAACCCCTCTACCGTAGGGACCTGCATTCAGACTTACAGCCTTGTTCCATTACCTTCGTAGTAATGACTCACACAGCAAGTGTGGAAGGCCCTCGTGGCGATGGTTATTTTAGGCACGTTTCCAGGCAAAGCAACTGTCTCAGAATAACTTGCCTGTCAGTCTGTTAAGGTGAAAATATTTGTATGTCAGTAAAAACATCAACATATTTTCTACTTGTCGATGTAAATATATCAAATGAGATCATGAGGGAAAGGGCTTTGCAACTGTAAAATATCTCTAGCTATGTGGTATATTTATTATTTGCTTTTAAAATACCCAGATGGGCTAGAGAACTGCTCATAATTCCCACAGAACAGTTTCAAGACCAAAAATAAAAATAAAAATAACTACCCACATATTTTAGGCCTTGTCCATATGCTCCAGAGTTGTCTTTTGCTGAAAGATCTTGAATGTGACCCCTTTGGAGTGGATTCTTTCACCCATGGCCACTCAGTAACACAAGGGGCCTGGGCCAGCAGCCTGGTGAGACCATGAGGCCTGCCTCAGGAAGGAGGGTGGTCTCTCTGGACGTCACACCTTCCTCACAGCTCAGCATCTGAAAGGAAGCACTGTGGTGTGGCCTTTAAGAGGTGATCCCAGGTTTGTTGGTTTTGATCAACCTAGTGACATGCTTAGTTTCTTATAGAAGTGATAGAATTTTTAAATCTCTAAGTCCCACCAGTTAAGTATGCAAATACTCCCCTAGCCACCACCCCCAACTAAAAAAAAAAAAAAAAAAAAAAAAACTAAAGTGATATTCTTAGGTTGCTTATGTTAAAATTCAGTGGATACTATTCTGAGGGGAGGAAGTTAGGGAATTCCTTCATTATTGTGATTTATTAGATTAGTTATTTTCTCTAAAAGAGCCCAGAGGCTTCAGACTCTGCTTGTGGAGGCAGACCCTGGTAGGGAATGCCAGAGTGGGCTCTGGGGAGGTGAGAGGCAGCACCCTCAGTCAGGGCAGGGTGGGCTGAAGGTGGTGGTTGGGATGAGACACACTTGAGCTTCAGCACCCAGAGGCTCCGCTGCCCTGTGGCTATTCCCTGAGCCCCACTCGCCTGCTCTATTAGTCCGTTTTCATGCTGCTGAAAAAGACATACCCGAGACTAGGTAATTATAAAGAAAAAGAGGCTTAATGGACTGACAGATCCATGTTGCTCTTAAGGCCTCACAATCATGGCAGAGGGTGAAAGGCATGTCTTATGTAGCAGCAGACAAGAGAGAATGAGAGCCAAGTGAAAAAGGAAACCCCTTTAAAATCATCAGCTCCAGTGAGACTTATTCACTACCATGAGAACAATATGGGGGAAACTACCCCATGATCCAATTATCTCCCACCAGGTCCCTCCCACAACACATGGGAATTATAGGAGCTACAGTTCAAGATGAGATTTAGATGGGGACATAGCCAAACCGTATCACCCCCCTACTTGGAACCTATTCCCACCCCTTCTTTTTCTTCCCAGACATATTTCCTTTAATTCCCTAAGTTGTAAAATAGAACCAAATTTCTTGGAACATTGTGTGGGAAAGACTAAAGAAACTCTAAGCCCACCCAAATGGAACACTATTTTTCTTTGGCCTTTATATATAACATTTTTATATTTTCAAACCCGTTTCACACTTAAGCTAAAATTCTAGCCAATCTCTGCAAAAGGATGAATTGGGAAAATTCTTATGACCCTTGGGTTTCATAATGTCAACCCACTGATTTTAAATTCTGACGTTGGTCTCAGTTCTTCTTGGCTCACTCTTCCCATACCACACTTAGAGCAGATGTGTTCCAAACAAGAACTTATCCCATCGAGCAGGGTCAGCTGGTGGACTATTAATTACCCACTGAATCTATTAGGTTGGTGCAAAAGTAATTGCAGTTTTTGCCATTACTTTCAATAATTGTTGGACCTGCTAATTTCCATGGAGTTTTGCACATTAGGTTCCTCTTAAATTCCACAGAAAATAGTGATTCATCTCTCAACTGCCCCCAGAGAATGGTGAAGAAAGGTCAGAAAAATCTCCACCAGTGAATTACCAGGGCTAGTGGAAATCCTGTCCCCACCATAACCTTTGTCACACCAGGCAGATCCACATGTCAGATGATAGGAGCCCCCAGTTGCTGCCCTGAGCTGAGTACCTTCTCTCCCAGCAACTGCAGGCACAGTGAGCTGGATGGCTCATCAACCTCTACCATGAGAGTGTTTCTGTTTGGTTCGGCAAAAGCGTTACACCCTGCTGTGACACAGCCCTGATTACAGGCAAGATCGAATGAGCTCATGAGCAGTTTCACTAGCATGAGGCTGACCAGTGACCTCAGAGCAAATCTTCCTTAATTCCCAAAGCATAATTTGAATTTTTATGAGAAGTGAAAGGAGATCACTTATTTTGGACAAACTTTATTTCAAACTCATAGAACAGATGCTTCAAGTGATTCTCTGCTTTTCTGCCTGCTTCCTTTCTTAAAACTATGCTTGCCCCGTTTGTAAATCTTAGTGTGCAGACTATGGTTGCAAGCTGAGCTATGGGCCTCAAAAGATTCATGGTGAAAGTGAATCTGAACAGCAAAGCTGCTGCAATTCAGGGACAGGGATAAAGAAGGAGGCCAGAGCATGAGTGGATATGTAGAATACTGCTCAGATTCACAAGAAATAGTTTAATTTATCCAAGCAAATTTTAGGAGTGATGTGGGAATACATTTTTTAAAAAACACCTGAAAAGTTTAGATGCTCCCTCCCATTTTTTTTTAATTTTTCCTTTTTAAATTTGTTTTAGTCTCCATTAATTATCTCACACCCCTCTCATAAATGTTTCAGATGTTTTATTGTTCCAAAATATTTATTATTCTCTTCTTTTTCCTTTTTTAAACCGTATCCAGCCTTATTAAACATGCTTTTTTAAAATTGTACTTTAAGTTCTGGGGTACATGTGCAGATCTTGCAGGATTGTTGCATAGGTACACACATGCCAGGGTGGTTTGCTGTCTCCATCCCCCTGTCTAAAGATGCTTTTTATAAGCAATCATAGTATATTAGGCAGGACGTGATCACTAGTAGTATACAACTTCCAAACTCTCTTCTTCAATGAACCATCATCAGAAAGCTGTATAAAACCCAGTGAAATAATTTGCTTAGACTCTTGATTGCAGTGAGGGTTGACATTTCACATGTAGCATGTTGTTTAACAACTTTTCATGAGCCAATCTTGACTTTCAGGACATGCAGTGAAAATGGCAGAATCATCAGTCTGGAAATCCACAGTCTAAAAAAGGAACTGCTGTTCTTTTGAGAGATGTCCTCTCAATAGGGGTGATTGGAAGGTTCAGATGACCCCCTTACTGCTAACTAATTTTAGGTGTCAGGTCCCAACAGGTCTCTGGGTTTAAGGAAGTTGAGACCATACCAAAGGCAGAGAGGGAGAAGAGGAAATAAAAAAGAATTTTTGTTTTTCCACACCATAAGGTGTTTCTGCCAAGGTAATGTGTGTCAATGTCAGGGAATCCCCTTCTGAGAGCCAAGAAGAAGTTTCTCATAACTGGAAAGAAAGGTGTTTCCCCACATCAGTCCAGCTTCAGACAGATTCTGTTAGTGACATATGCCCCCTCAGCCAAAAACAATGAAACATTCTGTGTGATAATAACATAGCTTTAAGAAAAGTAAGACAACATTCTACATTTTTATAAAACTCCATTTTAAAAAACAGTATTTCAAATTGTACAGTCACCAGAAGTACACAGTTACCAGAAATGCACACACTTCCCCTGGTGTCTCCAGCACCGACAGCTTTCTGTGCCTGGTCTGTTCTGGCGTCTTCATTTTCTGCGGGATTATTTCCCTCCAGCGCTAGCCTTTCCCTTTTTTCCTTTTGTGTACCTTCTCTTCCTTCTTTGCAGGGGCCTTCTGAGGCTTGGGTTCTGGCTTTGGAAGAGCAGGTCTAGCAACAACCTTGCAGATCTTCTTTGTGGTTTGCCCTTCAGTGTGGCTGTATCTCCTGGAGCATCCCCTCAGCCTTTCTCCAGTGCTGGATGAAGGTGCTGCATGGTGGGATACAGTGGTACATGGGGTTTGGTTGGTCCAGGCATCATTCTCACTTCTTCAGACTGCTCCTCCCTTCTTTTTCTAAATATTAAAGAGGATGATGATGGGGCTCAGGGGACAGTAGGGACTAAGAGCATGAAGATACTTCGATACCTTGATCATGAAGAGGCTGAGGGGGAATGACAGTCCCAGGGAACACAGACCAAGGCTCAAGCCACCAAAACCAAGCCTAGCATTCACTTCATGATTTTGCTAATGATGTGCTTATCCCTTATTGAAATCTTCCATTTTACTCTACCGTCTAAGTTCTTCTAGTTTATGTAGGAATCCCCTCAGGATGATAGTAAAAATATTAAGGGAAAAATAGTAGAGAAAGTTTATAAAATATAGTTTCAAACCCTTTTGGAAGGGTTTTTTCATAGTTTCAGTAGTAGTTTTGGCTGAAAGTAGCCTAAATCCCCTTTACATTTAGTTAATAAGTAAGGCAAATAGCTAGTGTATGTGGGGGAGGTTATCTAATTAACTTGTTTATTCATGTGGTCTTGAAACTAAACTTTGAGCTGGGTGGCCCTCTTGTGGGGAGGTTAACCAAGGATATTCTCAGTTCATAGGGTTTGCTTTAAGCATCAGAATCTGACCGTTAAACCTTCTCTATTAAGTGTATTGACTAAAAGCCTCTGTTATTAAATCTATACTAAATAAATGGGGACAGGGTGAGCTAATGGGTGTCGTATAGCTGCGATCTCTCTCTGTGAGAAGCTCACAACCCCTTAACCACTCATTCACTGTATTCTGTGTGTGGGTGCATTTATTCATCTGTGGTACAGCTGGGGTCTGTAGGCAGACCCCGGCAGGCCGTGACCCCAACATGATCAACGTCACAAATTTGAATATGTGAAGTTTGAAATTGGGGAAGTTGTTATTTTCATTGGGAAAACAAGGGGAGAATATCAGCAGATGTTACTGTTCCTTGTCGATGTTTAAGAATGTTCAGCCTCTAAGATTGTCTTAGTTGTGATTTCTGTGGCCTCTGTAGTAGGTTACATTATTAACCTACTACAGAGTTCATCTGGTCTAGGACAGGGACAGCTAATCAGGACGTCTTTAGTTAGCCTGATGTTCAGATGTAGCCATCACCGACTGACTGACTCTGGACTGTCTTCTGCTGTGCAGATCCTGAGTAACCTGGTGATGGAGGAGCTCCTGCCCACTCTTCAGACAGACCTGCTGCCTAAGATGAAGGGGAAGAAGAATGACAGAAAGAGGACCTGGCTTGGTGTAAGCAATGGTTTTGCACCACAGTTGAGCTACTCAAAATGGGAACATTCCCTTCCCTTTTCTTTTAGGGCATTTGTAGTTGTTGTTTGATAATTCCTTCCCTGAGTGTAGAAATGCCTACTTCAAACCTACTCAATCTCATTTACATGAAGACTAATCCAAACAGACTCCAACTTTGAAAGAAAAATTACAATGTGTGTGCAGTTCTGTTTATGTTATGATGGTCTGTGATGAAGGCTGCTCCCTCTACTTGACTCCATCAGTGCTTACACATGACAGAGCCCTGATTTATGTGTTATTCCCTGTTGCAGCTCCTCGAGGAGGCCTACACCCTGGTTCAGAATCAAGTTTCAGAAGGATTAAGTGCCTTGAAGGAGGAATGCAGAGCTCTGACAAAAGGCCTGGAAGGAACGATCCGTTCCGACATGGATCAGATTGTGAACTCAAAGAACTATTTAATTGGAAAGATCAAAGGTCAGTGGAGATAATCCATGCTCTTACTAATTAAATAAGCTGTACACGCAGGGATCCACCATGCAGCAAGAATGCGTGGTTTCAGAGGATAATTAAGAAACTGGGAGGAGGTGATCACAGCTGCAAAGGAGCATGCTGGAGGTACCGTTAGGGGCCTGAGACTTCCCGTGGAAGCTTCATAGACACAAGGCAGAGGAAGGTTTGCTTCTTGCCTTTGGCAGTGCCTGTGTATTCCGATACTGCCCGCACTCCCAAGTCCCATTGTAGCCCTCCTGATACTGAATTAGACTGGCTTCTGCCCTGCCTCCTCTCTGCTATAAGCTCTCAAAGAGCTGAGCCATGTCACCCTGGTTTACTCAAGTACACCTAGGGCCTGGTGCCATGCCGGGCATATACAGACTCTCAGTGAATATTCGAATCAATGAATACATGGATTTTCCTCTAACAGGAAAACCTAAAATTTTGGCTTAGAGTCATACCCAATGGCACTACAAACCCAATAAATGTGGGTTTGTAGCCCCAATATTAGCCAGTCCATGCATACCTTGGGAGGTCACTCAACTTCTAATTACCTCAGTGTCCTCCTCTGAAATTGGAGGGTCCACAGGAGTGGGGTTGGTAAACTGAAGCCCTTGGGCTGTATCAGGCCCCCACCTGTTTTTGTAAATAATATTTTATTGGCACATAGCCAGGCACATTGACTTGCATATTATCTGTGGCTGCTTTCGTGCTGCAACAGCAGAAGTGAATAGTTGGAACGGAGACCTTACGGACCACAAAGGCACAAATATTTACTATTTGGTCCTTTACAGAAAGCGGTTTACCTATTCCCATAAAAGAGGCCTTAGATGGCCTCTGAGGAATCCTACAGAATGAAATTCTATGGTTCTCCATTCCATCTGGGGCCTCTACACCCCAACAAACACACCACACCTAGTGTCCCTTCAGAGGAGAAGCTTGCAGGCTTACCTGTGATTGTTTATGGACAGTCTTCTTAGAGAGTTCTCAGATTATTCACTCACTCATTCATTCATTCATGAGAAACTATTCACTAAGTGTTTTCCAAGCCAGACAATGGAGCTTTAGCAGTGACCAAGGAACACCCTGTTCCTGGGCTCAGGAGGCTTGAGTCTCTGGGCTGTCTGCTTTGTGGATTATCCTCTGCAGTTCCGGCCCCGTTTCCACTGCAGCCCAGCTTGCTTCAGGGTTCTTAGCACAGGTCCTGCTGGGAGGAGGTTAGAAGAGGCCCAGCTCCAGCACAGGTGTGTGTCTGTGTGTCTGTTTACGCCATCCTTTGCAAAGCCAGCTCTACATTAATTTCAGAGTATTTGATGTTTTCTATTATTCGCGTCTCTTATTCCTCCATTAGCATAACTAATCTAGAGTTGGCTATATATTTAAAGACTCTGTACTACTTAAAACTGCCAGTGCTCAACTCCTGTGGCAAAATTTGTTCTATCTGGGCTAATTTGGGCCTAACCATAGCCATTCTCATGACCGAAATTAAATTGTCCTCCTTTGCCTAAATCTCTTTGGCTCTAGTGTATCCCCATATGATGGAAAAAGATTTTGCCTGGGATCAGTATTTATTTCCTAAAAGAAGCCATAAAAGGAAGTAGTGATCAAGGCCTTTTAAAATGGAATATCAGTGTTACAGCTCTTTTAGAATTTGTCTAGCAGCCTTTCCAGTTTTTGCCAGAAAGCCCCCAATTAAATAAATAAATAAATATATATATAAAATGAAATACCACAAACACATTTTAACCAGGCATCCAGTGCTCCACCTTTAAAACAAGGAAGTGTACCTTAGGCTACATTAATAAAAGGCTTTGGATTTCTTAAAAAAAAAAACAAAAACAAAAACCCGGGGAGTAGGAAATGGTGATCTCTCCCTTTCCTCCCATATGACTCTCGGGAGTAAAGCCCCTGAACTTTAATTCTGCCACACAATTATTTATTCATTCAATAAGCATTTATTCTATTTCTGCTGAGTACAATGGCTAGAATGATTCCAAGGAGACCATGTGATTTTACAAGGAGAGGAGGATACAAAGCATGTCACAGATGCTGAAACAGAAGGAAAAACATGTCCCCACCAGAGGCAGGAACAAAGAGCACAGTGGGGTCCCAGTGTGAGCATCGATCCCATTTCAACCTCAAGAAGTCTACCTGGGCCCCTCATAATGAGAGCACAGGTCTAGTGGTGGGGGCCCGGAAAAAATACCAACGCCAACAGGTACAATAAGAGCTAGCAGTTCCTGGGTCCTTCCAAGGGGCCCCTTCCAGAGTTGTCAGCACTTTTAATACAGTAAGCTCACTTAATCCTCACCATAATTGCTTTTATGATCTCCATTTTACAGACGAAAATACTGAGGTAGAAATTCAGTAACTTGCTGAGATTCCAGAGCTAGTTGTGGGGGAGTCGGGCTCCAAACCCAACTCTGGCCCTCACCTTTCAGGCATCATCACTCTGTTCGGCTCCTTCCTTCGCTTCAGTAAGGCTTATCAATTAATGTGTCAAACACATATGCCTCACAGCAACATCTCTGCCTGCTTGAAAAATAGCAGCACAGCCAGGTGCAGTGGCTCACACCTGTAATCCCAGCACTTTGGGAGGCCGAGGCGGGCAGATCACCTGAGGTCAGGAGTTCAGGACCAGCCTGACCAACATGGAGAAACCCCATCTCTCCTAAAAAAAATACAAAAATTAGCTGGGCATGGTGACGCATGCCTGTAATCCCAGCTACTCAGGAGGCTGAGGCACGAGAACCACTTGAACCTGGGAGGCAGAGGTTGCGGTGAGCCGAGATCATACAATTGCACTTCAGCCTGGGTAACAGGAGCAAAACTCCGTCTCAAAAAAAAAGAAAAAAAGAAAGAAAAATAGCAGCACGTACACGAATGGGATGTGAAACTTATCCAGCCCATAAGGAAATACCTGCAGACCACAGCTCAGGAAGCCGTGCAGGGGTTCCAGGAGGTTACAGTGAAATTTGAACTGGGCTTTGAAGAGAGGAGTAGGATGTTTACGAGCAGAGGTAGAGGAAGGAAGGCAACATAAAGGAACATTGAATAAAGGTGCAGAGAGGGGATGGGAGCGTACTGTGGTAAGTAGGGATGGAGTGAGAGAGGGCAGAGAGGAACATTCCCTCCCATGGCCCTCCTGTGCCCATCTTGGCCCCACCTAGCAGGTGAAATCTGCCAGCTGCTGCTAGATGTTTATTGTCTGTTACTCATATTCAGCATTGTTCTGACATTTCAATTAGCTGCTTTTCAAATACTTCCTCTCTTTAAAGTTAATTAACTAATAATTAATTTATTCTCCTGACAAACAGTTTTACGCTTTAGTGTCAAGCAAGTAATTTTTAGAAGACTCTTAGATGGTGTCATATTTGGATCATACAATTGAAAGGGTTTTTTTCCTTAATAATGTTATGACCTGTGTAATTTTTTACATCCCAAATATTTATAAGTGATTTGTAATATTCATAGGATTAGTCATTTCAGATTCTCAGAATAAAAGGTCGTGATCTGGCCCTGCATAACTGTGAAATATTTCTGCCCGTTGAAATAAGAATGAGACCATTCATCTCACTGTAGGCAAATTGCCAAGAAGAACTTAAGAAAGATACTTGAATGGTAGCCCTGCTCCTGCAGATTAGGGTGTGACGTTTGTGGAGTCATTGAACATCTCCAGGCCTCATTTTTTCCATCTGTAAAGTGGAGAGACTGGACATCAGCTCCATTTGTGCTTCTGTTCCTCGTTCTGTGATTCTATGACAAGGCTGTGTGACCTGCCTGGATCCACAAAGCTAGCCTTCCAGTCCATGGAGTGAGCTCAGGCTTCTTCCAGGTCCAGCCTCCTTCACTCTATTGTGGCTTCTTGGCTGATCATGAGAATCGCCTCTGCTCTGAAAACAATGCAGGTTTCCATGTGCTACCTGGTCTGGACCAGGACCTTCACTGTGCTCTCCCTCTTCTAAATCAAAGAGCAGTACTTTCCTCTAGGGACTGGAATTATGGTGACATTTTTTTCATTCCTCTTCATGATCAAAATGTACTCTACATTTGTGTCACTAAGCATGTCGTCTTGATCAGAAAAACCTATTGTGATTTTGTTTTGTCTTGTTTTAATCAGGAATGGGGACAGGAGGTAGGGTGGCAAACTGAATGGAATTTGGTTCCAATGGCTCAAGAAAAGAATGTACTGAAGTTCTTAAAAAGTATTTTGGTGAGGAGAAGGGGATGGAATTATACTGAGCAAATGCCTAGAGAACTGAATGAAAACAATAAATTGTGTTTTTAGAAGACAAACTGTGCATATTTAATGATGCTGATTGACAGTAGATAGGTGGATCACCAGCCTTTTCTTTTTTATATGAAGAGTTGGATGTTTGGAGGGACCAAGCAGAAAAATGCATCTTATCCCAGGGCAGAGGAAAGCTTGGGACGTGGATAGGTTTGTTCCAGTTCTCAGAAGGGTCCAGTGGTTTTCCTTTCTTGTGACCACAGGCACCGGGCTCGTTGTACTAGTCTATCATGGCCACTTGAGCTTGCCTTGCTGTTAAATGGCTCCATGGGGCACCATTCAGCTCTGGTCTGGCTCCAGTGCCCACAAACCCAGTTTTGCGCTATGTCACAGGTTTAAAAAAAAATCTATTTCCTACCCCAGCAATGGTGGCTGAGCCAGCGGAGAAAAGCTGTGCAGAGAGTGTGCAGCCATTCCTGGCATCCATCCTGGAGGAGCTCATGGGACCAGTGAGCTCGGGATTCAGTGAAGTACGTGTACTCTTTGAAAAAGAAGTGGATGAACTCAGCCAGAACTTCCAGACCACCAAAGACAGTGTCCAGCTAAAGGAGGTAGGATACAAAGCTGAGGAGCCGGGCATGAATGGTGTCTGCCTGGCTGTCTTTTCCGTGAGGCTTCATCTGCCATTTCTCCCTCCCTTCCTCCCTTCTTTTTTTTTTGCTTCCATTCTTCTGCCCTTCCCTCCATTTATCCAGCCTTTCTTCCATTCATTCAGACACCCGATTCATCCATCTATTCATCCATCCATCTACCTGATATTTTTATTGATGGTTTTCAAGTTAGAAAAATAATAACTTGTTTGTACAAGTGAAACAACGCACTGAAATATATACAAAGGCAAACTTAATCACCATGACTGATACCCACTACTCCTACTCCAACCCAGACTCCTAGTCAATCCCTATGCCCAACTCCCTGAATTAATAGAAATAGCTTGATATATATTTTCCCATAGTTTTTCTTTATTCATGTAAGTATATATCCTCATTTATAGAACATTGTTGTTTTCTTTTCAAAAATACAGTCTTGTGATAAGAGATCTGATTTTTTTAAAAACTTCAGACAAATTAAATTTAAAGGAGTTTAATTGAGCAGCAAACCATTCGAGAATCAGGCAGATCCCAGAGTCACAGCAGATTCACAGAGACTCCAGGGGTGCCTCATGATCAGAACAAGTTTATAGACAAAAAAGGTCATGTGACATACAGAAATTGGAAGTGAGGTATAAAAACAGTGAGATTGGTTACAGCTTGACATTTGCCTTATTTGAACACAGTTTGAACTTTCAGCAGTCTGTGAGTGGTTGAAGTATGGCTGCTGGGATTGGCCAACTCTCAGCTGTTATTACAGGTGCATACTACTAAGTTAGGTTTTCAATTTTGTCTGAGTATTAAGCAAGGTTACAGTTCATCCACAAGGACTCAAATATAGAAGTACAGAATCCTTCTCAGGCCATATTTAGTTTTTGTTAACAATTCCCCCCTTTTTGTCATTTTCTCAGTTTTGAGAGATTGACCAAAACCTTAGTCATTGAGCTTACTATCACTACCATAAATGTAATTATATGGTTTTGAAGCCTATTGGGAAACAGTAGAACAGTAGGTTTTGCAAGGAGGGAATAAGGACTAAGTAGAGGGTACCTCCTTATGCCAGAATATCCTGTTTAGAGGAGAAAAATAAAACCTGGTCTGTTCTGGGATCTATGTGTTTTCCTAAAGCCCTAGTTTGGTTATGTCATTTTTAGCATGAGTGACTATATTTTAGTTTGGTTTGTTGGGGCCTAGTGCATGAGCTTAGTCCAAAATAAGGGCCTCCCATTTAAAATTTTGTTTAAAAATAATTCCCCTTTTTTGCTCAGGCTCTCACTTAGATGAGAGTATGACCAAAACTTAGGGCCTTAGTGCCACTGTCAGGCACCGTCATTTTGGGTTCCCAGTCTCGGCATGTCGTTCATATAGGTTACAGAGTCCTCACAGTCACACGTTGGCTTCAGCTTTTGTCATTTCAGTTGAAGAGGGATCATGTGAGGTTCAGAGATGGCTGCATGCAAACATTTAAAACCTTTGAGAGGATACAGTGTGCCAGAAGACTATTATTACGGCTTTTGGGAGGATAATACCAAGAGTTTAGAGTATGCTCCTTACTCAGGGTCCCCATAAACCAAACCACCTAAAACTAAGTAGATTAAAGAATGACTTAGATGAAGAGTCTACTCACTTGACTAAGTAAGTGGTCTTTTCATTAATTCTCTACAACTGAATTTTTATAATCTACATTTGATGTATTTCTCCATAGGCCACAAATATCAGGAGGTGCACAGGTACTTTTCTATTTAAACAATTTTATTATTTAATAAAACTTGCACAAGAGAATTTAAAGTCTGTTGTGTAATGATAGCCTTTAAAGTAAAATTTGCTGAAGCACACTGCCATGTGTGTACCTATGCAACAATCTTGCATGTTCTTCACATGTACCCCAAAACCTAAAATGCAATAAAAAAAAAAAGTAAAATTTGCTGTAAGGTCTATTATGAGGGAGATATTTCTAATTATTGCCTCTTTTATTGTAAACCATGGAAAAAGGACCTAACAAATGATGTCCTTCTAGGAGAGTGAAGGCCTCCTGGCAATGTTCTCTCTAATCCATGATGCAGGTTAAGAGGAGTTTTGACTGATTTGAGGCAACATATATACCACTAAAGTTTCTCACCTACATTAGGCCTTCATCTTTTATCTATGAACGTATAAGGTTATTCAGGTATTAGGCTGGCAAAATCCTTCACAAATAAAAGTATACCATATAAGTGCACATTATAGACCCCCTTTTCATTTGTATTATTCATAGAAGCATACACACAAAAAAAATTCAAAGATCAGAGTCTTGTGGTAGCAGAAGTCTTGGGAATCACATGCTTTTGGGAAAAGCTGTTCACATCAATAATGTCGTCTTCCTCTGGGGAGAAATTTCCCTGGTTAATTTAGCTTAAGGGGTCTAATAGGTGTACAGTTCCAGAAGTGTGGTGGGACCCTTCTCAGTAGTGAGATTATGAACCCAAGTTTCAAGGCTCCAAAGTTTTGCTGTAGTGTGGAGGGCAAGGACAGTCTTTCTCTGATGTTTTCAGAAGATCTAATCTCCAGATTCTAGATTATGAACGTATTGTCCTCAGTGAACCATAAAAAGCTTTCTTTACCTGGTGAAAATACATTGTAGCATAATAAAAATCTACCGTTATAATATCAGCCCTCTAGCATGGGAAAACTTTTATACAACCAGAAAACTTGCATTGAGAATGACAATTGAATGAAATCCCCTTGTAAATGTTTAAATGGCCCATCAGGTAGCCAAATGCACCTGAAACTGTTATTGTTTTCCCAGGAATATGGAACCAAACATTGGTTCTAAACTATTTCCACAATTTATAAGTCACCACATCAGTATATTCAATTTGGATAATTTTATCTTTTCCATGGTGATTATTAAACAAAGGCTTAAGGACTCAGAAAGGACAAGGCAGCTATCCTGGTTCTTCACAAGTCTGTGCTTAACATAAGAGGACTTACGTCTTCTTGAATACCAGTTGTTTCTCCAATTTAGGTGCACAGCACTGATGACTAATGGGTTATCATGGGTAATTTGACTTAGACCATGGAGTGCATTCAAATTGTATATTTAAACAATTTTAGCATTGACCAATTTAGCATGATAATCTAAAGCTTGGTTTTGAAAGGTTTGTTAAATGCCGCAGATTTGAAACATTGAATATTACAAAATAGAATCTTAGGTTAACATAAGTCATTCATTTAGCCAAAATGATAACTCAAGCATTTTTTAAAAGATGAAACATTATTCTGATAGAAAGGAAACCAGTTTTTTTAACAAGATCCAATGACATTAGCATAAGGCCAACTGACTGTCTCCTTTCCTTCCCTTCCCTCCACTTTTTCTTTTGTAATTTACTTAAAAGGTCAACAAAACCTTTTATTATCTTTTAATATTACACAAAAATCCTTTTTAAAAGAGAAAGCCAAATTTAATGCTTCCATTCATGTATTTTTAATGTTAAAGCTAGTTTTAAATAACATTTTATAAATATATTCAGTTTTAATTAGTTTGATCACAAGGTAAGATTTTTATAAACCTTTTATAACCCTTTAGAATTTTTTTTCCTCAGAGCAGAACAGTGTTCCAAGAAAACTCTATTGTGCTTTTATTCCAATGTTCAATTTAGGGAAGAAATAATGATGTCATTTTATTTAGCCAATATATTCACACATAGAATCTCTTACAATTGATTTTTTTATAAACCTTCCACAACTTGTTCAAACCTTTAGCTTTATTTAATTTAAAACAATCCTTTACCTCTCTAACCTGGACAAAAATTTACATTCCTATACCTTCTTATAATCTCTTACAAAAACCACATTTCATTCTCCTTACACACCTTGCATGTAAACCTATTTTTTCAGTAGGCTCAATGACATATTACAGTGCTAACTATTAGCAACTTTTATGTTTGGTAAAAACCTTGATAAGTAAGGGATTTTAATTACCTAGTAGGTGTGGAGTCTAGTGTCCTAGGCCTTACCTAGATGTAAAGTAGGCGAACTGTACAGTTAAAAGTCACAGTGGCATTTTATGAAGAATTTAGGAGGCCTAATCACCTTTAAATTGTATAACACTTCTGTCACAAATTCCTTTTAATAAATTATTTCACAACTTATACAGACCATATATGACATGTTTAGACTTTCGGACTTGCCCTAAACATCCCTCTTTTTAAACGACCAGTCATTTTACTTTAGGACAAGAATTTACCATATGACATCCTCTCTTCTATAAAACCTCTTTTCTTTATAACTTCCTTTGCATAGCTAGGGGACATGGCTAATTCCATATATCCCCAGGCTTTATTTGGAATTTAATGTCTCCAAAATAAATTGAACAAATTTCAAAAGTCAAAGCAGTTTATGACCTTAAAGTATTTAATAAAACTATTATCTGACCTGCATAATTTAGACAAAATGTCTTTATTTTATTAATAATATTTAAAGTTGCTTTTATTTCCCAAAGATTACTAAAGTTACATGAACTAAAAGGCATTACAGTTTTTATTTTGCTTTCAAAATATTTGATTTAAGCAGTTATTTTTACTTAAGCCAATTAATTAGAGCTCTTTACATAAACATTACATACAACACATATATAATTATACAAACAGAACATTACTATAGCGATTGTAAGATTTTTTTTATTTGCCAGATTTTTTGTTTCTTAATTGGTTATTGGCTTTATGGTGGACCTTGGAAGAACAGAACCAGGAAAGGGGTCTCTGGTGCCTCCTGTTTTTCCCAAGGAGTCCAGGCTGTTAAAGCTTGAATATCCACTTTTAATTAAGCTGACTTTTAACCATAGCACTCTTCAATACGGTCTTTTCAACATTTCTTATTACCCAATTTTAACCAGGCCAAATGGCCAATATTTCTGGCTTTATAACTTTACCAAAGGTAATCTCCCAGGTGCTCAGATAAAGGAAAATTTAAGATAGTCCATAAAGGAGGAGAAACTAGACAAGGTCATACAGATATTCAACCAGAAAGGACTCACTTCCTAAGCATGGAATTGCACCCAGACCACCAGTGTGAAAGGGCAAAACCTTAGCTACTGAGTGACAGCATGGGGCAATCTCTACTGCCCTTCCCAGAAGGAATCTAAAGTCGTTAATTTTGAGTTTGCAAAGGCTTTTAACTACTCAACATAAACCTTAAAATTCCTGTTCTCTGGAAGGCAGAGACCAAGAGAAAGTACTGCTATGTGGTTACAAAGTCAAGCTCCCAAGGACATAAAACAAGATGGAGATAAACAGTGATTTTTACCATTCATTCAACTGTTTTCACAGAGAGAGAGAAGCCAGAAATCTGACTGTTAAGATAATTCTTACCTTTTGGCCAGCATGCCAGGCTTCTGGGTTTCCTTTCCCTGAGTGGCCCTAGAGACCCAGCTTGCTGCACCATTGTGCTGGGGGCCAAGCTGCATTGTAAAGAAAAATGAATTTTTTCATTCTGGCCAGAGCAAAATTCGTGTTATAAAACATAAACATTAGCCACTCTGCTTAGCCCTCAATTTCCAACTGGCAAGGCTTAAATTTGCCCTCAGATGGCTCCCCTCATCTTTAATCAAACCTCCTACTGGGAGTTTCAATACATGGTCTCTGGGCAAGATGGTTGCCCTGAGTAACAGAAAAGATAGGACAAGAAGAAAAAGGAAAGTATTGCCTGTGGCAAAGTCGGACAGTGTAGCCTGTGTTATTCATATGCACCCTGCCTCATTCCCCAGTTCTCTCTAGAGCCTCCATTTTCAGAACCTTTTCTTCTGCCTCCTTCCACCCAACCCATTCCACTGTTTATTTTAAACCTCCAGTATTCCCTTTAAAAAATGATTTTAAAATAAGTTTGGAAAACAGAATGCATTCTGTTGTAACATCTGTTGATAACACTTTAGGGCTTTAGCAGATGAGATCTGATCCTGGAAGCCTAATGACCTTATCAGTTGAGTGCAAACCAGAGTAGGAGGGACCCCAGTTTTTCAAACTGGATCCTTCTCCCAGGTCAGTCCTCTGCCTATCCACTTCCTGTCCACTAGCACCTGAAGCAGCCTGTAGCATAGGGAAGCCCCGTGGGCCCTGGCAGAGCCTCACAGAACTGTGATGAACTCTGGCTTCCCTTCCAAAGTCCAGGAGTCCAGGAGGATCCCAACATCCCTGGGGTTTTTTAAAAGGAGCATCACTCATTAAAGAAGGTTTTGGAAGCCTGGAAGCCCAGCAGCAACCATGTGTCAGAGTCTGCCTGCCTGGTTCTTAAGCTCTGGAAGTGGGAGCTTAGAGTCTATCAACAGCGTACAAAGACTGGAGTCCCCCTGGGTGCTCCCCTGGGTCTTCCTATCATCCAGTTGGTGTTTCTACTGGTTTCTGTCCTAGCATTACAGCTGCCCTAGGAACCGGAGGAAAATAAGACAATTGAAGGTGTCACAGATGTAGGGATCCAAGTAATAATTCACTTTCACACATGCATTTGATTGTTTAGAATGTATGTAACATGCAATATGCATGCAATACCACTTCTAAATCTGAGGGTGTTTAATGTTTCCTTTCACCAAAATGCAGCATCTAGACCAGCTTATGAATCTTCCGCTGCATTCCGTGAAGATGGAACCTTGTTATACTAAAGTCAACCTGCTTCACGAGCACCTGCAGAATCTCAAGAGCCGCTTCAGATTCCCCCATGTTGATCTGGTGGTTCAGAGGACACAGAACTACATGCAGGAGGTGAGTGTAGCAGGGGCATCCGTGGTGATGAGGGTAGAGAGAGAGCAGAGAAATGGTGCTGGCCAGTGAGACCGGCTGCTAATGTAGCTCAGGGAAATACATCGCATCTCTTTGGCTTCGTCTTCCTTCTATGTGGATGAACATCATAGAGAAGACATAGCTCAGAAAAATAAAGTAGCATTAATTGATAACTACTTGATTGGTCACATCAGTGCTTTAACCTTGGCTCATATTGGAATCACCTGAGGGAAATACTGATGTCTAGGCTCCATCCCCAGTGATTCTGATTCTATACATACTATATATATGGGTACTTTGCCCTATACATACATATGGGGTGTGTGTGTGTGTGTGTGTGTGTGCGCACGCGTGTGTACTTTGTTATTGTTGAGACGGAGTCTCACTCTGTCACCCAGGCTGGAGTGCAGTGGTGTGATCTTGGCTCACTGCAACTTTGCCTCCTAGGTTCAAGTGATTGTCCTACCTCAGCTTCCCCAGTATTTGGGACTACAGGCATGTGCCACCACGTCTGGCTAATTTTTGTATTTTTAGTAGAGGTGGGGTTTCACTGTGTTGACCAAGCTGATCTCAAAGTCCTGACCTCAAGCAATCTGCCTGCCTCAGCCTCCCAAAGTGCTGGGATTATTGGCGTGAGCCACCATGCCCAGCCTATATGACTACTTTTTGATAGAACTTCCCTACCCTGATTCCTGCTTCTTCTAATATGCAGCCAGGAATGAGAACCACTGGCTTAAATTAATTCCCTGACATAACTAACAGTAAACCAGTCAATCAAACAATCAGTTACAGTTTCATATCTGAATTTCTTTTGCCTACTTGACAGGTTTCTTTTTCTTTCTTTCTTTCTTTCTTTCTTTTTTTTTCCGTAAGGAAACTTTTCCACAGGAACAGGAATGAATAGCACAAACTCCTTCCATATTATGGTGTTTCCTAAATGAACAAGGGTGTGGTCATGAAAGCTGTAAAGGACACCATGCCATTTCACACAGATACTCTAACCAGAGCTTACTGTGGGCTGGACATGTACCAGATCCCACTTCAGGGAGCTTGAGTGAGGCATATTCTTAGATAAATTCACTACAGTGTTGAAAGTGTAATAAAGGTATATATTGTGGCCGGGCGCAGTGGCTCACGCTTGTAATCCCAGGATTTTGGGAGGCCGAGGAGCATGAATCACTTGAAGTCAGGAGTTTAAGACCAGCCTGGACAGGGTGGCGAAATCCTGTCTATGAAAAATACAAAAAAATTAGCCAGGCACGGGGGTGTGTGCCTGTAGTCCCGGCTACTCGGCGGCTGAGGCTAAAGATTCATCTGAACCCTGGAGGCAGAGGTTGCAATGAACCAAGACTGTGCCACTGCACTCCAGCCTGGGTGACAAAGCGAGACTGTGTCTCAAAAAAAAAAAAAGTATGTATGTATATATATATATATATATATATATATATATATATGTATAAATAATGATGCTTTGAGATCTCAGGCTTGGGGAAGAAAGGAACATTTTTTTTCATAAAAGTTATGGGCAGAATTAATGATACATTTTATCTAACCCTTGAGTTCTAAGGAATTAAAGAGGAACAAGGAACAAAACTGGGCAACAGTTTAGCAGAAGTCTCTTTTGCAATACTGGACCCTGGTGACGGGAACACAGGCAGAGGTGCCGAGAATAAGATACCTGAACTAATTCTGTTTTCTGACCCATGACCGTGTCAGCCACTGTCCCCAGCCATCCCTGACCTGCCCCTCTTCCCAGCCCTGCAGAGAGAGGAGGGGGTGTGCTGCAGAGTGGTTACCTCCACTTAAAAGTGGAGGTGCAGCCAAAAACCAGTTGAAGAAGGCTCCTGCCTCATCCCTTAATCAGTGGCTGCAGGTATCAAAGAACAGAAGTGCCCTCGGAGGTGACAGAATGCTTGCTCAGTCCCGTGGTTTGGGGTTTTCCAACTTCTTCCTGCTCCCACTGTGGCCATGTGACTTTGTCTCACAGCCCTGGTGGTGGGGTGATGTTGCCCTGGGTCACCCTCAGAGGAGCTGCCGAGAGGACTCCTCTGTGACGGCCCCTGCTCTCCAGGTCCGCGTAGCCAGGCCTGTGGGCGGTGATCCCAGCCTCTCACTGTTGTCTGTTTCTGGTTTCTAGCTAATGGAGAATGCAGTGTTCACTTTCGAGCAGCTGCTTTCCCCGCATCTCCAAGGAGAGGCCTCCAAAACTGCAGTTGCCATTGAGAAGGTTAAGCTCCGAGTCTTAAAGGTAAAACCAGTATCTTGTTTGTGGGAAGCATAAAATGAGAATGTGTTTCTCTCCTTTCTTTTCTCTTGTTTCTCCTGTGTCTTTTGTGAAGTGGAAAATACCATGTTCTCTCCTTTGCTCTAATCTTTCCCCACCCCTTCCTTTCTGAAGTCCAGTGACTGTCAATCCGCCGGTTTCTCCAGTGCGACTTCCGTGCCTCTTCTGCCATCTAGTGGCCTCTTCTGGTCCCCAGCGTCATTACCCACAGCTAGAGGCCTGCCATCCCAGCCTTCATAGAGATCGAACTTGACAAACATTTATTGGCTGTCCACTATAAGCCTTGTGTGGGATATAAAAATAGACAAGACACAGCCTCTTTCTTCAAGAGGTTGCAGTATAGTAAAATCCATTAAACTGGCAAATATTTTATTGATTTTGAAAAATCAAAACCTCATAGTAAAGGAAATACTCCAAAGAAAAGAAACCTACGATATGAAATTGTTTAAATGTACTTCAGCATGAGTGTAGATTAAAATAGTTTTAGTAATAGGAACTTACACATATATGTTGTATTTTAAAGGCTTTTGCTCGATCCCCACAAGAACGTGTGCGTTAATTAGAATATGCCCCCATTGTACAGATGAGGAACTGATTCTGTAAAAGCTAATGTGACTTAATTAAGCTCAACAGGCTGGTTAATGGTGAGTTTAAGGATAAACTATCATACACCTCGTCCACTAATTTTTTTTCCCCCAAACAGTTCCCTGGAACAGAAGATCGAAGTCCCACAGAGCCTATGGGTGGCTTCTGAATTTCGGACTTGATCTTGATGCCTCACAGGCAAAAGGAAGCTCTAGCAACCAAATCATTGATACTAAAAGTAATATTGATCATGGTAACACACATAGTAATGAACTTGCAATGGAGCTGAAAGAAAAGATAGTATCAGTGTCACATGCTTTAAGCATACAGAAAGAAAGGAAGAAAAAATACAGAAAGCTGTTCAAATATTAGGTCCTCAGGTTTTCAAGAGATTGTGAGTGCATTTAGTTCAACTTCATATTCAGTGTTCAGCAGGTTCCCACGACGGGTAGTCCCACTAGTGCTCAGACACCTGCACTGTCAGGAAGATTTCTACCTCTCTGGATAGCCCATTTTAGTTCTTGACAGCAAGAACATGCTTTCTTATGTTAGACCAAAGTTCTCACCACGGATCATTCCAGTTCTACCCGTTTCGTTCATAGCCTTCTTCCACGTGGCAGCCTTTGGTTGGTTGAATAGAGTTATAATTTGCCCTAAGTTGTTATCTCCAGTATAAATACCGTTATCTCTTTGACCACTCTTCTCTTGGCCTGACCATTCTTCTCACTGCCTGTGATGATGCTCTGATTTATCTGTGATCCCCTTGAAGTGACATCTAAACTTAAATCCTGGTTTTCCTGTTGGGATGTCCATTGCAGAACAGAGAGAATCATCTTTCCTGTTCTGGATACTGAACTTCTTTGGCTAACCTGTCACAGTATTAATGGAGACACTAGCCAGGCCTTCCCTTCCCTTGTGGAATCATTACAACCCACTGACCCTGCTTTGAGGATGTGGAGTAATAGATGACCATGGTTTCCATGAATCTACCTGGGACAGGAGTGCTAATATACAAACTCACCCCCAGTTCTATCGCCAACTTCTTTATCATGCAGAAGTCACTACTCTGTTTTGATCTTGCCTCAGTTTCTATATCTGTAAAAGGTAAGAGTGAGGTGAGTCATTATCAGTTACAACCTGTGCCTGCAGTGTGAGGGAATTACAGGGAAAGATCTCTGAGTCTTTGGACATACGAGAGTTATCAGACATTAGTGGGAAAAGAGAGGTAAAGTGGGTGGCTGAGTTTTTTGTTTAAGCATAAGTCAACAGATTGTAATGTTACTATTTAACATATGTTTCTGTATTGACAGCAATATGATTATGACAGCAGCACCATCCGGAAGAAGATATTTCAAGAGGCACTAGTTCAAATCACGCTTCCCACTGTGCAGAAGGCCCTGGCCTCCACGTGCAAACCAGTAAGAGGATGAGTTACCCTAAAGAGCTTGCTCTTCTTGTCTCTGAAGTTCAAACAACTTCGACTACACCAGGGAGGGGTTGGCAGACATTTTTGTAAATGGTCAGATAGTAAATATTTGAAGCTTCATGGACTACACTGTTTCTGTTGTAGCTATTCAGCTCTGCTGTTGTAGTGCATAAACAGCCATTGACTACATATAAACAGGCTTTATTTGCAAAAACAAGATGCTAGCCAGACATGCTGACCCCTGAACTAGACAGAATCTCAAAGGACAGTGATCTGAATTTGAGCCAAACTAGGAGTTGACATAGAATATCTAAGGATACCAGGTGTTCCTCATTATAGTATGACTCATAGGTCCAACATGTCCTCTGAAGCTTGACCACTGCCTCCAGAGAAGATCTTAGCTAACATGATTACAGAAGGATATTTGTTCTATTAAATCCAGTAATATTGCTTAATGAAATAAGTCAAACCATTTAAAACCTCTACAAACATTGAGTATCCAGTGAGAGCCATGATTACAAGGGTGTGACTTCATCTGCAGAGCAGAGCAGTGGGCCAGCAGAGAATGAAAACAGCTTTAGGAGGTGGTGTTATTTATACCCTCACTGTACAGATGAGGAAACCTGAGTGGTTGAGCCACTGAGCGAAGGTCACAGACCTGGTGGCCACCAGAGCATGAACCCAGTTCACACTTACCTGTAACATGATAGGCACTCAGGAAATAGTATCAAGTGCTACTACCTCTATTATTATCACTACTTCTACATTTTAAGAATGATCTATTAACCTGGAGCAAGGCTTGCTCCCTCTTGGAGCAAATGATAAAGAGGTTTTGGAATTTAAAAAGGGCATTTTGGCAGCTTAGAGAGTCTCCAAGCACTGGAACATTAAAAGCCTTTGCCTGAGTTATTTTACTCCAGACATTTCTTTGGTCATCTTCATAGTCTGTAAATGCTGTTTTTCTTCAGATCATCATCAGCATACTAGATGTATTTGGCATTTATTTCTGGGCCATATTTCTTTAATAGGAAAGGATTTGATTAAGCCAAGGGATTGACCCTTGGCCTTACATGGCAGAACAGTTCAGCAGCCCAAATGATGATGGTGTCCACTGCTAGATGGGTTTGCACACAGATGTTCTGCTTAGGATTTTATTTTTCAATCCCAAAAGCAGTTTGGGGGCCTCAGAGCCACCTCCTCTCAGGAGAAAGGTAAGGAGAGTTCTCCTTCTCATCTGCTCCCGTCTTTCCAAGCATCAGCAGGGCGTGCTGTGCCCAGTCTGTAAGAGGCTTTTGTAATTTTTTAATCAGGAGGCATTGATTTCAAAAGAGCTTGTGACTCAAAGTTTTTGGTAATGGAGGCTATTATATCGGCATCACGAGCTTTTTAAAAATCTGGATTTACAGAATAGATGAATGAGGGCGTTATCTGCTTCATAGAAGGAGTCTTTATTTTACTAAAGTACATTTCCCTTGGTTCTATAAGCAGCAGCTTCCTAGATCTGTGGTACTCAACCTCATCCCTAGCTATGTATTAGAATTGTCTGGGGAACTGTGAAAACTTGATTCTGACTCCCCAACACCTACTTCAGGAATACCAATTTAATTGACCCAGGGAACTAAACCTATGGCCCTGTTCAATCAATTCCATATAGAAGACCTGTTTTGTAGAGTTGGTCACTTCACAACAGTATAAATGTCCGTAGAAAGCACTCCTTCCCATGGAATTATTTAGCTGGTTGAAATTTTAAAGGTCTATTGCTTATTTAGTCAGCAAGTATGTATTAGATTTGCATCACATGTGATCCAGGCATTGTGCCAGTCCAGCATCCCTGCAGTCCTGGAGTTGATGGTGGAGAGCAGGAGACAGACAAACAGGCTGCCATGTGAGGAACACAGTAGTTGCCTCATGGGGAGGAGCTCCAAGGAAAATGCCAAGCTCTGCTTATGCAGCCAGGAAGGACTTCCAGAGTCATGCTTTCACCCAGTCCTGAGGGATGAATGACAATCAGGGGAACAGGAATGGGAGACCATGTGGGAAGGATGAAGGGGTGTTGCAGGCATGAGTCTGTGCCTCTCATTTAGTAGAGGAAGATGCAGAGGCACTGATCAGTGATGTGGCTCACCAAGGTCCCATAGCTAGTCCAGGGCAGTGTCCAGTCTCCTGGGCAATGCTGTTTCCAAATCTGTGCAACAGTCCTGCCTCTAGACCCTCTAGGGAGTCATTGAAGCTCATTTCTCTCTAATCCTTTGCCTTTCTTCTTGGTTGGGTATAAAGGAATCCATTATTACCCACTGTGATCTGGGCTACAGTGCCCCAAGATCCTAGCACTGAGAGTTGTCTGAGGTGGTACTTCTGATCACCTGCTGTAAATCCTGTCCTTCCAGGCACGGGGCCACAAATCCCATGGCTAAGTCCCTGATTCTTTAAGAGCCACATGTGGGAAGCCTTTCCCCAGCACCGTGAGGCGCAAGGATTACTGAGTTAATCACTGGGATATGATTTGGTACATTTTGATCCCTGCCCTGTCTTCATGCTGATAAAAGGCAAGCCATGTGGAAGCCCATGGAAAGGAGGGAGGGTTAAGGGATACACCGTGCCTGGGCTATCCTAGAAGGAATCAGTGAATGTTGGGGAAGGGAGAATGTTTCTGAAGAGCGCTTGACTAGAGATCCTGCCAACTCCTAAAGTGGCCGCCTTCTAATAAAGTTAAGCATATATCTACCCTGTGACCCAACAACTTTGTTTTTAGATATATGCCCAACATAAACAAGCCCTTAAATCCACAAAAAAAGTGTACAAGAATATTCACAGCAATTATATTTATGGTTGAAAATTGAAAAAATTTCTTTTCATCAACATGAGTGCGGATGAACAATTTTTGTTTATGCATATAATGAATACTACTTAACAATAAAAAGGAACTAGCTACTGATGGATATAGCAACATGGATAAAATTCAAAAACAAATGCAAAATAATTACAATTTCGTTTCTATAAAGTTCAAGAATAAGCAAAAATAAATCTACCACGATAGGTGTAAGATCAGTGCTCAAATCTTGGGGATTGCAGACTGGAAAGGGGTATGGGGGACCCTTGGGGGTGATGGAAATGTTCTCCTTCTTGATCTGGGTTATGGTTACATAAGTATATTTATATATTTAAAACCACTGAGCTGTACTTATCTGTACGTTTTACTGTCCATAACATTCCTTGGTAAAGTGCTATTGGCATTTTATCAAAAGGAAGAAGGAAACAGCTTGGTGATCAGGGGGAAAAGGAGGCTCCAAACCTACTAATGAGGCCTTGAGATGATAAAAAAAATCAGTGCTGTCTTCCCTCATGAAGAGCATAAAATGCATGGCCAGTACGAGGAAAGCACCAGAGGCTGAATGAGCCGCACACCTTATCATCGACAGTAACAGGACATGTGTTGAGGTCATGCGTGGTGCCTAGACAGTGAATTGAATTGGAGGGAACCCAATAAAATATTGATGAATTGACTAATTTGCCCACGAGCCAACACTGTTCTCCTCCCACACCCTCCGAGAAGGGAATCGTGAGTGGGAATTGTCCTTTCTGTATCTCCTGTAAGAACAGGCATCTCATGTCTTTTCATCTTTGTCTTCTTACCTCTTCCTCTCCAGGAGCTTCAGAAATATGAGCAGTTCATCTTTGCAGATCATACCAACATGATCCACGTTGAAAATGTCTATGAGGAGATTTTACATCAGATCCTGCTTGATGAAACTCTGAAAGGTAAGGAAGGCTCCCTGGTGCTGCAGGGCCTCTCCATAGAGGGAGCGCCCCTGAAGTGGGACTCTGTAAGGCCAGTCAGGGAGGAAAAGAGAAGAGGGATTGGACGTTGGTGAGGTGGGGAGACAAGGAGGAGAGAGAAGGAAAGAAGGAAGGTTACTAATCTCGATTGAGCGTTACGATTAAGCACATACTAAGCTAGCTCTTTAAATAGTATTTTCCCTTTTTAATACAAAAATATGAACGCTATGAGATGGGAATTTTAAGTTTCATTTTACTGATGAGAAAGTTGAGGCTTCGTGAGATTAAACCTCGAGTCTCTCATGAAGAGCTGTCTTCCTCTTGCTGTTCCAGACAGAACAAAGGAAAAAGGGCTCTTCTTAGGCACAGGCTTCCGACTGCCCCCGCCCCCCACCCGTGAAAGCTGAGAGAGGCGATTCCAGCAGCGAGGCTTATTTATGGCTCTCTCAGCACCTTCCCAGCCTCCTCGCAGCCAGACAGAAGAAGGCACAGGGTGAGGACGCAGTGCCGTGCAAGTCTTGGTAGGACTCTGGCACCCAGTATCCTCAGGAATCATGCCTTGCCTGGGATTGGATTGTGGATAGGAAAACTTTGTTAAAAATATGCTGGAGAGGTCCAGGTATGGTGGCTCACGCCTATAATCCCAGCACTTTGGGAGGTCGAGGCAGACAGATCACTTGAGGTCAGGAGTTTTAGACCAGCCTGGCCAATATAGTGAAACCTCGTCTCTACTAAAAATATTTAAAAATTAGCTGGGTGTGGCGATGCGTGCCTGTAATCCCAGCTACTCCAGAGGCTGAGGTAGGAGAATCGCTTGAACCCAGGAGGCAGAGGTTGCAGTGAGCTGAGACGGTGCCACTGCACTCCAGCCTGGGTGACAGAGTGAGACTTGGTCAAACAAACAAATGTTTGGAGAGGGCTACCATCAAACCGTGGGCCAGAAACATATCTGGTCTCCTTTGGGAAGGTCTGCATATCACAAAAGACCTTCCTCATTGAAAACTGGCTGAGCACAAGCCCCAGGCCCTAGTAGCTAACTCCAGGGGTTGCAATGAGACCAGGAATAGAAGGTGTGAGCACAGTGTCTGCACTAAGGAAGGGCTCGGTCAAGTCTACTGCCAGTCCACCATGGGCGCCTTTGGGTGAGCTGGAAAAGGACTCCTTTTCTCCACTTTATTGCTCTCTGTTAGGAAACTGTCACAACATACTGATTTTGTTGGAGAAGGAAACTCTATAGCTAACTGCTGAAAAATTATGCTGAATACACAAATCTCTACGCCCTTTGATATGAATGCCACTCTGGGATGTGATATTGTTGGGCGTTATGGCCCCTGCACAGCCATAAATAGGAGGCCTGTGGTCAAAAATGTCATCCGTTGTCGTTGTTATTGGATTTGCCCCTCTCGAGGCCTTTGAACCTGAGCTAGCTGCACATGCGTCTTCATTCTGGCCATCTCCTCTGCCTGTGCAGTACCAAGTACCTATTACACATTCAGGACTGCACTGCAAGGTAAGGCAGACAAGTGTAAGGCCTGCCCCTGCCCTGGAGGAATTCGGTCCAGGTGGACAAACTGGAACCACCCATATTAGCAGCTAATAAAATGTGCTGGGGCCTCCCAGAGGGATACAGGTGATACTATTGTAGACCTCGTGTGTCTTGAAAACAGAGGCTACAATTTATTCATCTCCGGATTCCCAGGGCCTGTCCCATGTTAGATGCCCTGCAAATGTTTGCTGTTTAAATAAGTGAATGAATGAATGCTACAGAGGCTCAGTTTGGAAAGAGTTTACAGTCTTTGAGGCCGGGCGCTGTGGCTCACACCTGTAATCCCAGGACTTTGGGAGGCCAAAGGTGGGCGGATCACCTGAGGTCAGGAGTTTGAGACCAGCCTGGCCAACATGGTGAAACCTTGTCTCTATTAAAAATACCAAAAAATTAGCCAGACATGGTGACACGCATCTGTCATCCCTGCTACTCTGAAGGCTGAGGTTGGAGAATCTCTTGAACCTGAGAGGCAGAGGTTGCAGTGAGCCAAGATTGCACCATTATAATCCAGCCTGGGTGGCTGAGCAAGACTCTGTCTCAAAAAAAAAAAAAAAGTTTACAGTCATCACGGAAGGCTCCCTGATGTAAGCTGGGTCTTGAAACGGAGAAATTTGTATAGCCAGAAAGGCTGAGAGGGGGCTTTGGCTTTTCAATATAATCAGAAAATCCAGGTGACCACGGGAGAGTGTTAATGTCATGTTTTGTTTTCTGATATCGCTCAGTGATAAAGGAAGCTGCTATCCTGAAGAAACACAACTTATTTGAAGACAACATGGCCTTGCCCAGTGAAAGTGTGTCCAGCTTAACAGATCTAAAGCCCCTCACAGGGTCAAACCAGGCCAGCCCTGCCAGGAGAGCTTCTGCCATTCTGCCAGGAGTTCTGGGTAGTGAGACCCTCAGTAACGAAGTATTCCAAGAGTCAGAGGAAGAGAAGCAGCCTGAGGTCCCTAGCTCATTGGCCAAAGGAGAAAGCCTTTCTCGCCCTGGGCCCAGCCCACCCCTGGGTGGGACTGAGCAGGTGATTATTTCAAGAGTGGATGAGCCCATGGTGAATCCTGTGGCAGCAGAGGAAATGGCAGGACTCCCGGGCACACGCTCATCAGAGCTGGAGTATGGAGGGACCCTTGAGGATGAAGACCCCGTCCAGGAAGAGCCAGAACCCATCGCTGCCTCAGGTTCCTTGAAGGAGCTCAGAAAGTTGCTGACGGTGTCCGTGGAAGTACCAGTGGATTCTGCTCCAGCGATAGAAAAAGATACAAATGGGGAGAGTCTTGTTCCCCAAGAAAATAAAGAAGAAGAGGAAAAAGAGGCCAGTCAGGCAGCTGCCACCCATCTGGACAACTGTGAAGAAAGTGCAGTCAGTGACAGGGAGGCCCAAGCTCCCCTTCCTGAGGCCCGTGGGGAGGAGTTGGGGGAATTTCCAGAGGTAGGCAGCCCTTCCTCCCAGCCAGCCAGCGGAGGGTTCACCGAGGAGCCCCCGAAGCCCGTGGAGGGGGCGCTCCCAGGAGACGCCTGCACACTCTCTGCCCATGATGGAAGAGGGGGCCAGGGCACCGAGGAAGGGGAGGATTTGCAGCAAGAGGGCTGCACTTTAGCTTCTGACCCCATCTGCCTCAGTGAGAGCCAGGTTTCTGAGGAACAAGAAGAGATGGGAGGGCAAAGCCGCACGGCCCAGGCCACGGCCGGTGTGAATGCAGAGATGAAGGTAGCCCGAGTTCATGAGTGCCAGTGGGTGGTGGAGGATGCTCCCAACACAGATGTCCTGCTGTCACACAAAGCTGATGTGACGGAGAGAGAAGGTGGCCAGGAGAGTTCCCCAGAGCTGCCCTCAGAGGAGTGAAAGGGACCATTTGGCTAAAGTCTTTCTCTGAACAAAGCCACAGGGCTACGGGGGTATTCTTAGGGGGTTGCATGTGAGCTGTTACCAAAAAATGTTTAAGTATTTTCTTCATTTGAATAATAAAACCAGAGGAAATGCACACAGGGCATGAGCAACTGAGGCAAACCTCTGTGGAACTGAATTGTTCTACCATGAATTTTTGCTTTAGTATTTTAATAAGAATTACAGAGGCGCTGGCGTACTTGGGCAAGAGGGAGCTCAGGATGTGTGAGGAGGGAACAGTATTGCAGGGAAGACGAGAAAACAGTAGGTTCACAGTTTTGAATATACTCTGCACTTTTCAGTGGAGCAATCTTCTTATGCACTTTAAAGCTTTTTAATTTTGTTTGAGAATGTAAATGTATACTCTAAGTCTAGCTTTACTGTCTACTATGCCTGCTTCACCATCTCTTAAGGACTCAACATTTGTCCACAGTCAGGCTGCAAGAAAGGGTAGGTCATGACCAGCCACCCCTGCTGGGAGGAGCCCCACAGAGCTAATCATGCCCAATAGAATCAAGAGAAGCTGAGCAGAAATGGAGGGAGAAAGGTGTGATGGTCTGCGGGACTGTCTGGGCCTGTTCCTCATCCTGCTATCAATTTCTTATTAATTAATCTTGATGATTCTTATTAATTAATCCCATTTTCAGGAAATTCAGGTGAGGCAAGAAAATTTTATTAGCCTGGGTAAGCCTGAAAGCATTCCAAATTAGGCTTAGACTGTGCAAAGGGCTTAGCTAAATTATCGAGCTTAAAGCCTATCAATTAAACAAACATTATTTGAACAGTTACTGCATGCCACGCATAGTGTTGGGCTTAGTAATAAAAAGAGAAAAGATAAAGTGCTTGTTCTAGCATAAATTAAAAGGTCCAAGGGAATTTAATCTAGAAGAAAACATATGCCAGTTTTCAAACTATGACAGCTTTTTTTCCCTTTCTTTCCATTCAAACAATCCTGGTTCATTCCTAGAAGGGCGCAAAATGAATGAATGAATGAATAAATAAATGAATAAAGACAAGAGCCAAGGTATATGCCCTCAAGTTCCAAAGATGTTACCAAAAGCTGAAATCATTTATTTGGTCATTCAGCAAGCTAACTGAGTCTTTGTTATATACCAAGCACTGGGGATACCATGGTGAAAAAGAACGTTTTTCTTCCTCCTAGAACTTACATTTTAATGGAAATAGACAAAACACATCTTCTGTAACCGTTAATGTTGAAAATGGAAGACTTCTGAAAGACTGAAAGGAGTTGTTCTTTTCTCCTTCAGAAAAATACCAGCTCGTTTCCTAAAAACTCCAGTCCCTGGTATTACATCCTGGTTTTCCTCCTCCAGTTTGTTTGTTTTTTGATTTGAGATGGAGTCTCACTCTGTTGCCAAAGCTGGAGTGCAGTGGTGTGAGCTCAGTTCAAGAGACTCTCCCGTCTCGGCCTCCCGAGTGGCTGGAGTTACAGGCGTGCGGCACCACTCCCAGCTAATTTTTGTATTTTTGGTAGAAATGAGTTTTCACCATGTTGGCCAGGCTGGTCTCAAACTCCTGACTTCAAGTGATCTGCCCACCTCGGCCTCCCAAAATGCTGGGATTACAGACCTGAGCTATCTGGCCCCTCCCAGATTTTGATATCGGATTTCAACTTTTTTTTTTTTTTTTTTTAAAGACAGGGTTTCACCATGTTGGCCAGGCTGGCCTTGAACTCCTGACCTCAGGTGATCTGCCTGCCTTGGCCTCCCAAAGTGCTGAGATTACAGGCGTGAGCCACCATGCCCAGCCTGAACATATTTGCTGAGAGCTTGTTTAGATCATCAAGTAAATTCATATCTGTTCCTTTTTTTTTTTTTTTTTTTTTTGAGAAGGGGTCTTGCACTGTCCCCCAGGCTGGAGTGCAGTGGCGCAATCCCAGCTCACTTCAACCTCTGCCTCCCGCATTCAAGTGATTCTCATGCCCCAACCTTCCGAGTAGCTGGGATTACAGGTGCCCATCACTATGCCCAGCTAATTTTTTGTATTTTTAGTAGAGATGGGGTTTCACCATGTTGACCAGACTGGTCTCAAACTCCTGACCTCGTGATTCGCCCACCTTGGCCTCCCAAAGTGCTGGGATTACAGGCGTGAGCCACCACACCTGGCCCTCATCTCAGTTTTTTAGAGTAGTTCAACCATTTAACCAGAAATTAAAATATCACCCTCTTCAGCCCTCCCATGAAGAATTTCTAGGTCATAAAGGATGAATAGTAACATTTAATTGTTGCAGCTTTTCTTGGAGTGTTTAGATCCTCGTGTCTTTGAGAGATGCGACCATAGGGAAGAAGGTAAAGGCCACTTTGCCCTCAGTCCCTGCTTTCCAGCCGGTGCTCACTTATATCCTGGCATTTAGTATGGTATGTTGAAATGAGGTTTACTTCCTGTCTCTCCAAGAGGCTCCTCTCTTCAAAGACAGAAACTAGGGTTTAGTCATCGTCTCTGCTTCCTGTTAGAAACCCAGCCTTGAATCATGGCTTCCTGCCTCTTTGAGTCACGGTAGTATCCCTGGTGCCCAGTATAGGACCTGGCATGCGTCAGGCTGCACGGGAAATGTGAGAACTGGACACCCAGCACGCTGCTGTGCTGGGGCTATTTGGGGCCTGCTGGCAGGCAGAGAGATGTTTTGAATTGGGCTTTCTGCCCTTGTTGAGTCTTCTCTTAAGTAAAGTCCAAAGTCCAAGGGGCAGATAGCCAGATGCGCTGCCTAGGAAGGCAGGAAGCCAAAGGAGCAGTGCCTAGCCCCACAAAGACTGCCCGACTCCCTGAGACAGTAGCATGGAGCCCCAGCCCAGGCTGACCTCACACCAGAGCTTCCTAGCTTCCTTGCTTTGTTCTTCTTGCACTCCCTGAAAAACTAAGAGATTTTCTCAAGCCTAAAAGACAGTACATTTCACTGCATTGGATGGATGAACATCAGTGCCCTAACTTTATCCGTTATGTAAGTCAGGGAGAACTGGGCACTATTTGTCAGGATGTACTCCAGAATATAGTCAAAGAATTTTCTATACCTATTTCACTAAAGACAAGTTCTTGGGCTGGATGCGGTAGCCTATACCTATAATCCCAGCACTTTGGGAGGCTGAGGTGGGAGGATCACTTGAGCCTAGGAGTTTGAGAAAAGCATGGGCAACATAGCAATATCCCATCCTTGCAGAAAATAATAGTGGTACGTGCCTGTAGGCCTAGCTACTGGGGAGGTTAAGGCAGGAGGACAGTTTGAGCCAGGGAAGTTAAGGCTGCAGTGAGCTATGATTGTACCACTGCACTCCAGCCTGGGCAATAGAATGAGACCCTGTCTCAGAAAAAAAAAAAAAAAAAAAAAAAAAAAGACAACTTTTCTAGAATAAGCAGGATGATTGTTTCACTTGAAGATGGAACAGGAAACTAGAATACATTTAAAATGCTCTGTGTTCATTTTAACATGTTGAATGGAATAACTTCATATCACCATGAGTTTATTTTGCTTTTCATACAGACTTGTATGTGTTGTTTCAGTGGTTTCCAGATTGGAGCAAGGTTATTCTGATCTAAATGAGCAGCATGAAAAGCCTCTGTGTGCCGCTCTGGGGATCTCTCCTATGGGCAAAGCCATTAGAAATGCATAAAACCTCGAGACATGGTTTTTGGCAAAAACTCCATGACTTTAAACTAGCTCTTTTACTACTGACCCTTCATAAGGAAAAGATATTTTCCTTGAAAAAAAAATGGGCTTGTCATTTTTTCCCTTGTAGCTTTGAGCAGAGAGAGTAGTGCCTTGCATTACACACAGTAAACTCTCTTTAAAAAAAAAAAAAAAAGAGATTTTGGATGCTACAAGGGTAGATTCCAATTTGTCCAAAAGCTTTCTGGCCTTACATATTTTATTATAAAAATTATCAAGTCTGGTTTTGTAGTCCTCTATATCAGAGCTAATGATTTCAAAAGGTTTCACAATTTTCCAAGACAAAAGTGATTTTTGTTCATCATATTAAGGTTAAGTGATATGTGATCCATAGCAATTTTGATGTGGGGAAGGGAAGGATGTCATTGACTTAATAATAATAGTTCTACTCAGTGCAACATGTGTCTTCACACTTTACCATAAACAGATGGGTTTGAGGCTTTGCCTTCTAAAGTCGCAACATCAAGAAAAAAAAATCTACCCTGTGAATTGGCTTTTCTGGTCACTATATAAAGCAAGTAAACTTAAAACACTTTGTAACCATGTATTTACTCTGCCAAGTGCCTATATTCGAATAAAATGTTCGTCCTTGAAGAGCTGTCCAGATGTCATTCATTTGGAATGCGGTTGGTTTCATCTTTTAAGCAGATGTCACAATTGAGTTGGGAGGAACAGCCCTCTGAAATGAAAAGGTGAGTCACTCTTACTGTATTATGGAACTTATACTTTTCTGTTGTCAGGAAGGAATCTGCAGGGAAGCCACTTAATGATAGGTATAATTATGCTTTGATAATGCATGTGCTTATTTCTCCAGGAATTGGATCACATCCATCAAACAGCAGTGGGCAATTGCTCTTGATGTAATTGAACTGCGGTTCAAACCTAAATTTATTTCCAGTGGGTGACATTGAGCAAAACATTCATTCATTCTGTAATTATATATAAAACAATATTTTTTTGCCATGTCCACAGTTGCTCACTTATTTGTGGATTTATTCATCCAAAAAATAATGACTTGGCCCCTATTATAAGCAGGCACTCCAGTGGGTGGTGAAGAAGCAAGTGAACACAGTAGACATGATCCCTGACATCAGCAAACTCAGATTCTCAGGGTGGACCTGGCCAGGGAGAACTCTGAATGAATATTTCCTTCCTCACCTGGCCTACATCTTGTCTATAATCTCAGCTTTAACTCTAGTCACACCAATAACTTCAGGTGAGAGAGGAACAAACATTGGAGAAATCAAGTCTACCAGTGAGGGAGATACTTGATGGGACATAACATTAATCATTCCTTCTCCCGCTTCCATACCAAATGTCCAGGATGCAAGAATCCCTTCCAGAGTGGCCCCCTCAGACCTTCCACTTAGAGCCAAAATTCAGACTGGAATTAAGGGACAGGGAGTTGATTTGAAACTGTTTGCAGAGTTTTTTCTGAGGTCATATGTTTATTGGGTGTGGCTTGAACAGGACCGATGAGTCTTGGGAGGGTCAACTAACGCTATTCTCTCCTCAGCCACACTTGGAGCTGCCCCTGCTTGAACACCTCTGAATCTTTGCCACGTTCTTCCTTCTGCTAAAAACATGTGGCTCTCTCATCTCCATCTGGCCAATTCCCACTTTTCCTGTAAGTGTCAGGATGAGTCAGGCCAAATCCACACTTTTCTGAACTCTCACCCTAATTTTCTTGCCCACTTGCAGTCATCCTCTCTTGCAGCATTGACCTGGCCCGTGCCTTTGGGACAGGTACCCTGTCTTTAATCTTTGTAATCGTAGCAGAAGAATACAAAGCTCAATAGCAAATGTTCAATGCATGTTGAAGGGGCCCGGCATGGTGGCTCACGCCTGTAATCCCAGTATTTTGGGAGGCCAAGACGGGCAGATCACCTGAGGTCGGGAGTTCGAGACCAGCCTGACCAAATGGCAAAACCCCATATCTACTAAAAATACACAAATTAGCCAGATGTGGTGGCAGGCCCCTGTAATACAGGTACTCAGGAGCCTGAGACAGGAAAATCACTTGAACCCAGGAGGCAGAGGTTGTAGTGAGCTGAGATCGTGCTACTGCACTCCAGCCTGGGCAACAGAGCAAGACTCTGTCTCAAAAAAAAAAAAAAAAGATGAAAGAATAGATAAATATCACCCATTCTAGATGTAGGAGACAAGTGGATATATAGCTGATGATCCCTCAGCATGCCATAAGTGGCTGCGAAGCTGGTAACTATTTATCCTCAGCCTACTGGGAGAGTTTCATTTCAGTGATGAAAACTGACCATATGTTTGTGCATACCCACACCTCTGGGAGGGAGCTTCAGAGCCAATTTATCCCCAAGT